AGTTAGCAGTCAAGTGCCTTAGGCACTAGGCTACCAGAGCTCCCCCGCAGATTACAGCCTTGGAAACCCTGTGGGGCAGTTCTGCTCTGTCCTGTAGGATTGTTATGAGTCTGAATCTACTGGATGGCGATGGGTTTTTGGTTGTGTGTGTGTGTGTGTGTGTGCGGTTTGTAGTCTCTCCCATGTAATAACAACTGACACTATAATTTAAAAATGTGATTCGGTTTCCATATTGTTCGATAATCTGCTTTTTGCTCTTAGAATATTTTAAGGATCTTAGTAAATGCACCTTTACTTTTCATGACCATACTGTATATTATTTTACAGATGTAGGGCCTAATCTCCTATTATTAATACATTTCTGAAGTGATTTGTATTTTATTTTCGTGTACCTTTTGTAAAGTGTCTTTTTTAAAGGGAGTTGCTTGGCTTCCATACAATGCAGGTTTTTCTAAGCAATCCATGAAATTATGTGATTGGTTTACTTTTTTCATTGGAAATAGGTAGTGATTTAGCAGAACATAAATTTGGCCACGAGAGGGCAGTAGAGTATAAGGGAAATGCTTGGCTAGTTTCATCAGGGAAATCTTGGTCCACGAAACTCCGGCCATAGAATCACCACCTAGGATTGACTTTTTCTAATAGGACTTTTCCTTCTCTGATTTTATAAAAATTATAATGCTACATTTTTGTTTCTTTGCTTACAGTTTAATGTACCAAGGTGCTTAATTCTTTGATATAGTAAATGTAGTTCTTTTGAGTGACTTTAGGTGGCACTCTAACATTTAAGTTAGATCATTTCTAGCCTCTTGTAAAAGACTGTAAACGTGAATTTTGTGATCACCAACATTTTTAGAATGATGGTAGACTTTTGTGTGCAAGTGAAGAAAAAACAAATAAGAAATCAAACTTATTCAGACATTTTCTCAGGCTGAGGGGTTATACCCCATTAAACTTAATCTAGATAAGTATATGTGCTTTTAAATACACTTGCTTTAGGGGCCTTGAGGAACTGCTAAATTTCAGTTGCATTTCTGGCAACTAGTGTTGTCTTCATCAGACATGCACATGATGTTTCTTCTTATCAAGTAAATTTATTAACTTGGTTAAGATTAAAGGTGAATAAAACCAAGTTCCATGGATTGCTTACAAAGCTAGCTAGTCATTTTGAAAGTGTGTTACTGACCATAAATTGGGACCAGACAAAGTAATAACATGGCAGAACTCTTCCTTATTAGAAAATGAGCTAGGAGCGCACTCCTCATCTTGGTATGAGGGCAGCTGCTTTCACTCACTGGGACGCCCAGGGAGGTCTGTCTGTCCACACTTCATGATGAAGTTCTTGATTCACACTTGGTTATTT